TCATAAAAATGCATCAGATAAAACTGAAAATCTACTTATGTACCCTTTAATATGGTACTAACAAAAATAATTTGATGTCAGGATTGTTAAGCAAAACGAGTTGCGCCCCTTGGCCTTGACTCAGTGGCACATCTCTACTTAGCAAAGTCCCAAGGCGAATAACACTTTCCTTTGAAACCAGAGATGTAGCAAGAATTATCAGAATGAGCTGCCCTTCTGCAGGGTCAGTGGGCACAGCTGGGAACCCATAGCAGATCAGTGAGTCAGGGTTTAAGGTGACACATGTACCCGAGGATTTTGCTGAACAGTAACGTACTTAGAGAACTATTACAAATATGCAAGGATAACAGGGAAGGAAAAAGAAATGATGGGGTGTCTCCTTTTAATTTTATGGCTAGATTCTGGGCTGCAGAGCTTATACCTCAGCTTTACTGCTAACAGTAGAGTTTACTGCTAACAGCAGAGTTCTTCAACATTGAGGGCTACTGAACAGCTGTGTGAAGAGTCTGGGTCAATATATTTAAGGATATATCTTCCATCTTTAGGAATAAGTTAAGTTTTTTTTTTAGAAAAGTAAAGAAATTTAACTGTCAGAAGTGACTGATTAAGGTCACTGTACACTGTGATGGCCCATTTTCACTGTGACCTTTAAGCTGTTCCTAAAAATATTAACTCAGGGCATCAACTGAAGTTTTGTGAGTCATCTGCAAGAGCACTGAGTACCCCTATTTAATATTTCAGGAAATTATTATGAGTTAACTGTGTCAGTTTAGAGAATACATGCTACAAGATATGAAATACCATCAGAGGAAAATATAAGTGATTCTTTAAGAATAAATAACTCATCATAATTGCTGAGCTATAGAAGGTTCTTCTAATGCTTCTAGAGAGCATGCTTTAAAAATATAGGTAGAGAGTTTACAGCCATCTCCTTACTGAAAGAGCTATCCCCAGTTGTGTTGGTATAACATGGTAATATTCAAACAGGACACAACTCTAAAAGTAAAATTGACATGCACTTGCAGTAAACATAGAAATATCTTTAACCGCTGGCTCATATATGGAAAATAGTTTAAATGACTTAAGGTTATTTTTACACTGCACTTGTAAAGTGTTTACTATACAAATTTTACTACAAGACATGTATATCTACTGGAAATCTTAAGTCACACAGACATCATCAACAGCTCATCACACATACATGACACTTCTCCCATTCACACAAGTTTATATACACTGAGTAAATAGTTAAATATTGCACTTATTGGCCCATAATTCCTCAGTTTTGAGGTATTAACAAATAGAAAACATAACTATTTTTATAACACATTTTCATGCAACATTTAAGATGTGAATTCCACAAGCACTAGTATATAGGTTACACATTCTGACAGTACAACTGAGCCACAACACATCTGACATTACTGACAAAATATTAAACAGGAGTTACAGCACAAACATTTCATTTAACACGAGTTGCAGGTACATGTCAGAATTACTTGAGGAAATTTATCACCAGAAGTGGTGAGCTATTACTAGCTTTCTTCTTTGCATGTTATGCATGATCCTGAAGTCACTGAAAGATTAGGACTTTTGTTTCCTCCCCCATTCAAATACGAGGTACCTTATTCTACAAATGACAAGTCATCTACATCTGCTGGAACCACTGATAATAAACCTAATTTGGGTCTGCAGATGTTACCCAGGTGGTTTCTGGTGCTAATGTGAATTTATAAATAAATATAGATAAATAGATGAATTCCACTGTGGCATTTAGGAAAGTCTGCACTGAACACAAATAAGTAACAGTGGGAACTGAATAAGCACCAAAGATGCACTGCTGTGTATATATGTATACTATACACGTGTAGTTGCAATTTCTGCTTCAATGAACATCCATTGATAAACAAAGTAAAAAAAAAAAAAAATTAAAAAAAAAAAATAAGAAAAGAAAGCTCATATTGCAAAGGTCAAATACATTCACCCCTTATAAAGAAAACTGGTAGAAATAATTCAAATAATTGAAACAAATTGCCTTTTTAAATCAGACTTGACAAACAATGAACCTTGGAAAATCTAGAATTAGAAGGTAAAAATTAAATGGTGCAAATCAACACAACTCACTCCTCTGCTGGCATAAGTGAAGACATGTTGCTTTGTATCACTTGAGGAATTATCTATGAGGATCTACATACTCATGGTCTCATATTCCCAAATCTGTTATCCTAAAGAAGAACTAGGCTCATGCAGCATGTGTCTGTCTATATGAAACAGGCCAAGGAGGAATCTGCCCATCAGCAGAACAGTAATTTGGTTGATGCCCTTAAAAATGCAAGTATTAAAACTTGCTTCTCAGAAATACTGAAACGGGTAGCTGGGGACGGGTGGAATTTGAGAGGGAGGCTTCTTTTAGAATGCAGCTGCAGCATCATTCATCTGCTATTGGAGAAACAAAGGCATCATCACCATATGTAGAATTTGTGCCCCTTTTTTTTTTTTCCTAAAAATGATAAACTCAAAGCATTCTCAAAGTTAGGAACAAATTCCAGCAGATTTTGTGCACCCTGAAGTAGTTCCTAAAATAAAGAAGATGCAGGTGGTATGGCTGAATATACAGAGCTGAGCAGACTGGACAGAAAACCTAATCCTTCAGACTGGTGCTCTGGAAAGGCCACATAGATGCAGTTGATCAGGTAGTTCCTCTAGGCATTATATTAAGTATAAGCAAGAAGGAACAAACAGTTTCAGGTAACAGTCACACAGCTGTTCAGAGAGAAGGAGTGATTTTTTGACAGAAAGTCAGGCTAGCTTATATGTATTTCAAACACAAAACAAAACAACAGCAACAAAAGATACAGTTAGTTACACTATAAGGACCAGAACACTTGTGAACATGAACCCTTATCAGAAATAAACCATGCATCTGAAGGTTCAAACAGCACGGCTTGCTAGCTGTTCGGCACATCGATCAGTGCCAGGAGGCACTGCAGGAATCAGTCACGTCCCATGTGCTTCTGTGCTCCTGAAGCATTTCCTGAGCCCTAGGCTGACCATGCAGCAAGCAAGACACTGTCAGAGCATACGGGTGGTGCATTACTCATGCACTGGATTAGCCTGCTGCTAAAAGCTTTAGTCCAGGTCATAACTCATAAAATGGGTTGCGTAGTATTAATTCAGCTGGAACTATGGAGCTCTGAAGCCTCTGCCCAAAGGCATCTAATCAATCGGAAATTTAACGTGGTTGGTGTGTCACCCACTATATCTCACCATTTGGCCTAAATCTGAAGAGGCTGTCTGTGTCTGGACCAAGGTTCCACCACATTCAGTGTTATTTCTGTCCTGAGAGTGACAACAAATTAGTACAGCGTGCAAGTATGTTTTCACCAAGAATTGTGATGAGATTGAAAGTAGTTTTGGTTATTTTATCCCCGTTTTCAATTTGATCATACAGTCCTCTTCCATTGCTAGAATACAATGCTTTTTAGCCTGTTACTTTCTCTTGATGGAGCTATGCTGCACCAGTGGATAAATCAGGGTTCTAGCCAAATCCTGCTTGTCTCCTCCAAAAATTCATAATCAGTGACTACTAGATATGTGTAAATAATGTGCCATTGATTGACTAAATTTTGGTCCTTGATTAGAGATGGGATTTCCAAAAGTATTCAGCCTAACTTCACTTGCATTTAAGAAAATTGCAGTTCTACCACATAAGCCAAGAGAAGCCAGCGTAGACTGGCACAGGCTGCTTTTGGCCTTTTGCATTTGATAAAAAGGCCAAGACACCATTTTTAATAGAATGAAAATCCCAATCCTGCTAGTTTCCTCAGCATTCAAACTAGACTTTAAAATATCTGGGGAAGGAATAGTAAGTTACTTAAAAGCCTGTCTTTTTTTGTTTCTGCAATGGCCATCTGAGAGGTACATGATCTACATGTGAGCAGATTTTTTAGCAGAAATCTCAATATTGCTGTGAGACACATGGCTGCAAAAGCCAACCTGTAACAGAAATCAAAGCCTACTTTTCAGTAGGTAACCCTGATTGTTAAGAAAAGTTCTAGTTAAACTTCCAACTTTTTCAATTACAGATGAAGAGATAATAGGATAAATTGTGTTTGATGGGACATCAGCAGGTCATCCTCCTCAACCCCCTGCTCAAAACAGTGTCATCTAAGAGGTCTGAGCAGTTTGCCCAGGGCTTCAGCCAGTCTGGTCTTGAAAACCTCCCAGGATTTGATGTGAACACTTAACAAGTTAATCTGACTAATTCTGAAGTCTATGACATGTCTGAATGCCAATACAAAGATCCTAGGAGTTTTTAAATACTGACTGGTTCTGCTATTGTACTTCAGATGAGCCTTTTCTTTACAACACATGGCTGGCACTCTAATGAACAGTTTTACTCCAGCAGCTGCTTTCCCCATCCCATGCAGGAGACATGTTGAAGGCTGGTTGTCTCAGAAATGCAAAGGAGAGATTCTCCCTGCTTGAGTTTGCTGATCCTCTTCTGCCCAGGCTCTTGATGCAAAATTAAAGCAGTTAATTCATCCTATTTAAGAGCTATTTATCTATTACTCAAATTGTTTAAAAAGATACATGCTAACACGGCTATTGCCATCACTAATTAGAGACTACAGGGTCATAAAGAGGCATGGATGTCCCAGAATTCATTGCATGGTCACCAGGTGGGGTCTGGAATTCACTGCAATGCAGTATAAGCAAGGTGTGGCTGTAGCAAGATGCATCTTGGAGTCTTTTTTCCTTGTTATGATGTGCACAGAAGATGAACATTTTGCAGCAAGCACCCCAGAGAAAAGCTGGAAGAATACTTGCCTTTGTAGCCATGCTGCATGACCCAGGATATGCCCAAGCATATGTAAGATGTGACTATGTTCTCCTCTCTCCTTGTCTTGCCTGAGATGGCTCAGACTAATAACACAACCTAAACATTTTCTAAAGGACTTGAGGGTTGAACTTGCTCTCTCAAGACTTCCCTGCTCCAGCACCAACGACTGCACATAATAAGAAAAGGATGGGAAAACTCCTACCATCTCACACAAAGTTTCCTCAGCTTCTTATAACTTCTTTTTCCAAAGCAGCTGGTATGTAATGAATGAAAACATATTAATGGAAGTCTCTCAGCACAGTTATCAACATGCTGCCTCAGATGGTGGAAAGAAAAGCAGCATCCCTGGAGAGAGACAAAGTTACAGTTGGGATGACACATGCCTCTTCTACCTGGCTGCTCACCATCCCCAAAGAGAACAGTGCTTTCTCTTCATGGAGGTAAATAAACGAAGACCAGCCTCCATGTCTGCTAGGAAAACAAATGCTTAAGTAAACTAGCTAACAGGACAGACATGGTTTAAAACCACAGACTGAAGAAAGAACATGTATTCATTTAAGTTAGGCAGCCAATGTAGTGCCCTGATGGTATATCCACTTTACATGGCTCTATAAGCCTTGTTTCAAAATCATTGTTACTGTGTCAAAAGTGTATATAGGTTATTTAATCAGTAAAAAAAAGTGGCTATTTTCTCCTAGTGTGTTTCAGGATTTATATAAACTATGTTAAAAAAAAGTAATTTGCGTAGAGGGATTTCTTTGCAGCTTTAAGCAGTTTGCAGTACATTGTGTTACTTCCTTTTCTAATTTGTCTTCTGATTTTTTCCACTGCAGACAGTTTAAGAAATGTCAGCCTTGTCCTAAATTCTGTCTAACTGGAACAATAAAACAGTTAACGCTTCTTCAATTATGCTGTTTAGTTAGAAAAAGTCATTATGACGCAAGTAAAGGAGTTGTACAAAGTACTCCAGGGCACAAATGTAAGAAACTGCCACCAATTACTAGGACTACTTTTAAAAACTGTGAAATATGACTGTTTTTGACATGTTATTAAAAAAGCATTTGTGTATTTTACTCTGCTATCTTCACAGCCTTTTGCTGATCTTATGAATGTATTCAGGCTAACACCAGAAATTTTGACAATTTTTATTACTTCTAAAGTTTTTAAAATCTTGTGAAACTCTGATTGTCCTGTCAAAATAAATATCCCCAAAGTAAAAGTGAGGTCAAACTCCAGTTCACTGAGACCAGCAGCACTTTTGCAATAGGTCTGAGTAGAATACAGGCAGTGTGTTGCCTGTGTTTCGGTGGTTATTGTCTCAGTGACTGAATGAGAGAGAAAATTCCTGAAAACTTAATAGGCAGGTTTGACAGCAATGTGACAAGACAGTTTTTGGCCATGAACAACCAAGCATAATGGATTTGACTCTGTCACGGGGTAATATAAAACTGTGTGTTTAGTATCTCATGCAAGTAGATGAGCTACTTAGCCCTCCAGTACTAGGTAGGTACTACCAGAATCTTAGTAATGATGGAATGAGAAATTAAGTTCAGTATCAGAAAGGTGTTAGATAACACATGCAGCTCCCAGGGAAATATAAACATACTATCTATAAAAAAAGGATGAAGTACTTAATATCTGAGTGTCTGCACTGAATACCCATAACCAGTTGGATACTCACAGGAAAGTTTGGTGGTTTTGGGTCCAGGAACTAACTTCTAATGCTATTCTGGAAATTCTTCTGCAATTTCCAGTCGTCCAGGATGTGTAACATAATGAGTGTAGATTTGCCGAGGAAATATACTCCAGGAAGTGTCCCTTATACAAATGAGCTGGACAGAATGAGGGATTTTGTCTCTAAAGTAATGTTTCTAAATCGATTTTCAGTCAGGAGAAAATGCAAGTGGCATCAGGAAGTGTATTGTAAGCCACACTGGCCACAGCCCTAAGGATTCAATTATATAATTTGAAACTGATGAAGCAAGAGTCAATTCTAGGCAAATGTGGTCTGAGAACATGGCACCAGCTGAAGTAAGTGTAATGTGAAACAGTAAAATAAAAGAGAAACTAATAGCCATCCTGCATGCAAAAGCCAGATGCTAAAACCTGGATCATCCTTTCAAACTAACAACCATTCCAACACCTCCATACGCATTCTCCACCAGCTGCTGATGTAAAATAAAAGATTTTTCTCCCAAATAAATTAATAAGACAGTATAAATAAAGGCGTATAGACCATTCACAAATACTCTGTTGGCCACTGAACACACTGGAGCTGCCTTTGCTGATAGCTGCATTAACAGCCGCAGTTGGGCTGCTGTGGAGGAGGGGTGTCCTTTAGCTGTGTGTTCTGCTTGCTGGCAGCAATGGTTGGATCCATCTCCAGGCTTTCTGACATCTTGTCACAGATGATATCCACGAGTCGCTCAAATGTCTGCTTGACATTAATGTTGTCCTTGGCACTTGTTTCAAAAAATTCAAATCCTAAGAAAATAAACAACACGTTTATGTTCAATGCATATTCCAGGGTCTCCAAGAAATATACAAACCTCTCCTGGGCAAGGAAAAGCAGACACACACTCAGAAAGCAAATGTGAGAGCATGCGCAAGAGAGAGTGGTACTGGAAGAGCAGTTAAAACTGTAGCACAACAAAAAGTAAGTACATTAGTGGTATTTGTTTATATCAAGCCAGTCAGGAACAGGACAAAACCACTCCCTTAGACAAATTCTACTTAAAAATAGTTTAATTAAAAAATTGTCACCAGTTTAACAGCATTATTTTTTTAGAAATGCCCTATGTACCCACTCATTGAGAAGGAATAATCTGCTGTTCCATCTCTATTCTGAACATTATTCAGCTGGAAACAGACACTTCCATTTGTGCCATTAACCTGGTGCCAAAAAAACCCAACTATACTTAGAAATAACCAGGTAAAGAAACAAGCAAGAAAATTAAAAACTGCTGCAATTTGATATCTACTTATGTTAGAGGTGAATCCATGGGAGCAAAGGGGCTCCCAGTGCCACAAACCAAGCTAAAAAGAAAATAAAATACACGAATGCATGCAAGGAAGAAAACTTCCTTAGTTTACATGGAAGGACTTTTTAGCTATTTATTCCCAACGACTACTCCAAAGGCAAAAATCTGAGCTATCCTGGTTAAGGGACACTGGAAGCCTTTATGGAACAGAGCCAGTTCTTCTAAGCTCTTTTCTCCATGTCCATTTGTCCCATGTCTAATCTTCCGTGTCTGCCTCCTTCCTCTGGGCAAGGTTTGCAACTTGCTGATCAGCCTGCAATACAGCAGCCTTCTGCCAGTGCTGGCTCATCCCATGTTCTTGCTTTCCTTGCAAAATATTTGCAGGAAAACTGTTCATAACAAAAGACCATCTAAAGACATCATACTGGAAAGAGCTTTGAATCTACATCGCCTTTTTAATTAAGGTTGGCTTACACAAATCCTTTGTTCCAAACTAGAAGGAAAGTGGCGAAAGCCAGTGTAGCTTCACTTGCTGTGCTGCATGCAGGAAAAGACTGTTCAGAATGCTCAGGGATAGCCTGGGGAAAGGAAGATTCTCAACATTTTCAGTGCTCTGTGTTGAAACCTGGCTGCAGCTCTAGTACAGCAACACAGTCAGATAATTCCATAAGTGTTAGTGTTAGCTCACAGGAAGCAGGAGGAAAGCAGCCATTCCAAAGAGGAACAAGCAGGACCAAAGGGCAGAAGGTTTGAGGGACAGTGAGAGGATGCCTGAGAAATAGCACACCAAAGCATTGGAGAAGATGACAGGAAAAAGAATGAATTTTAAGGACATTTATGAGGGGAGCAGTTTTTACAGTTAATAAGACAGAATAATAGGCACATGAGATGATCACAGAATGGTAGATATGACAGGTATATGTGTCACAAAGAAGGGACGAGAGCCATGTCAGGAAATACTGTAACATGGGCAGGATAGAGAAAAGAGCCCCACTACCACAGTTAGGATGTTCTGCATAAAAACACTGTGAAAAACTCAGAGGCACCCATTCTCCAAGTAAAACAGAGGCATGCAGTGTGCTCAAGCACAAACATACTTATTCAGATAAAGTAAGACACTACAGCTGTGGTGAAATCTCAGTTTCACTGGAATTTCAGTTATGATTTTGATATAAGAAGGAAACTGCAGTCACAGTAGTGGTGTAGCTGAGTATCAGGCTATGCCTGTATACAAATCTCATCAATTTAATCACTAATTACCTGAGCGATCCAGGGCCTCCCTGGCTAGACCCTGCATAGGTGAGACAATGCACTGACCCGTGAGAAAGTGACAGAACTCCCAGCTGCCTCCACAACAAAGTATTTGCTATAGTCTTTACAGGAACTGTACAGGTAGGCAGCCCTGGAGACTCCCCCCCCCCCCCCCCCCCCCCCAGTCAGCCTCTGCTGTGCATAGATGATATTATAGGAACTATATGCTTAAATGTGCTGATAAACATCCTAAGTAGAGAATGGGTTATGCTGGTGGGCTTCCCCCAGGCAGTTCCTGCTGTAGTAGAATGGATTCAGCTGCACATAGGTAGGACACTTGTAGTTGATCTGTGGTGTAGAAACAGTTCTTGTCGATGCAGAAATGCTCACACAGAACAGTCTTTTGACTGAAGACAGTTAAGAAATGCTTTGTATACAGTTTAAAGTAATCACTGCCAAATGATCATGGTATGTAGTGGGCAAGTAGGACTAGCTAGATTACAAGAATTAGCAGAACAAGAGTTCACAGAGTCTCATTTGATGTAGCTGAAGACATCATTGCAAAGACCCTTGCAACAGAAGCTCATGTTGCCACCCAGCCAGCCACTGAATACTCTGTGCAGGGGATTCAGTTCCTCACTGACAGTTACCTTATGCAAAAGATCCCAGTAAATTAGAGTGGTGTTTATTTTTCATTTGTTTGTTCAACAGAAACTCTATCTCAGAAGCTCAAAGAGATATGGAACATTTTTCCCAGCAGAGTGTGCATGTAATAAATGGCTGAATTCTGGTTGTTTTCCATTTTATGTAATATTTTGTAGAACTTGACCTTTCCTCTCCTCCTGACTCATCTTGCAATTATTTTACTAATAGTGCTTAGACACCATAAGCTTTTAAAATGCATGTGTATGAGGGCCCCAGATCTCTGCCTTTTAATACTTTCTTCAGTTTTTTTTCCACTGCTCGTTATTAACAGAGAAAAAAATCTTCCATAACACTGTAAAGCTGGAGTGAGGAAATCTGGTGATGCCCAGGGTTCTGCTCAAAGAACACCATGTTCCTACCACCTGTGATGATCTGTACTGTTTGATGTGGATGAGACCTAGCACAGCTGAGTACTGCAAAGAAATGACAAAGCCCAAGAGGCAAGCGGGTAAGTAAGGCAGAAGAGAACCTCATTTCAGCTGGGATGGAGTTAATTTTCTTCCTAGCAGCTGTGTTTTGGGTTTAGTGTGAAAACAACAATGATAACACACTGATGTTTTTAGTTGTTGCTAAGTAGGGCTTATCCTGATTAAGGACTTTTCAGCTCTGCCAATGAGGTGCACAAGAAGTGGAAGGAAGTAGAGACAGGACATCTGACCCAAACTAGCCAAAGGGGTATTCCATACCATATAATGTCATGCTCAGTACATAAACTGCAGGAATTTGATAAAGGAGGGACTTATCGCTTACTGGAAATTATTTGGGCATCAGCTGGTGGTGAGCAATTGTAATGTGCATCACTTGTTTATTCCTTCCTCTCTCTAAGTTGTTCTTATCTCAACCCATGGGGGTTTACATTTTTTCTGATTTTCCTCCCCATGCCACTGGGGACGAAGGGTGAAGTGAGTGAGCAGCTGTGTGGCACCTAGTTGCCAGCTGGGCTTAAACTGTGACAAGATAAAACTGACTAAATCCAAAATATCAAAGTGCTTCCTGAACATATGAACAGTGTGGATGGAAAATGCCTCAGGATGTTCTAATTTAAATGCCTTATTTGTGTTTAATTTAGTTTTCCATTTGCTGTTCTTACACTATGTCTCTTTCCCTTATCTATCTTCTTCCCAAAGTATTGACTCAAAGAAAGCTTGCAAGCTCTCAGCAGCCCCTACAGAGCACTACAGCAGCATGCAGCAGCCAAGACATCAACAGGGTGCTGTTGTTCATCTGATGAGATATAATGCACACAGAGTAGTAACCACCCTGAAACACATAAACAGCATGAATTACTGACTTTGTTCTCTCCCTGCCTTGTGTTTGTCCTGACTTCACAGAGGTTCCTTCATCAATGCTCATTAACTCTTGTTTATGGTTCTTTCAAAAAATAAAGAAGAAAAAATGACACCTGCATGCAGAGCAAAGAACATTCTGCACCCTCTCATCTTCCTGAGAAAATGTGCATCAAGAGGGCACACAAGACAGCAAATTTTAAGCACAATTCCACAGTCAATACAGACAAACTATGTTCATGTTTCACCAGCTGATTAAGAAGACCTTCTGGTTTCGGAGTGGTTGTCCAAAACCGAGACAACTTTATTTACCACCGCTGATGTTAGGTTTAACAAATGTTCTCAAGGATGTGCTCCTGCAATAACTATCCTTTCTTGAAGACAAGCCTGAACATGATTTTTAGCACTGCTCTTGCCAGTGCCCTGTTGAACCCAGTATTTTGAGTAGTAGGAGACTGAAACATCAGAGCAAGAAGCAGCTGCTCCCTTTGTCACACAGTGGTGTACAAAAGGCAAAATCTAGGAAACCATGGGAATGAATTATTTAACAATGTCATAGCATATAAAGTGGAGGAGTTTTATTTTCTTGGATTTATTTTCTTGGATTTTGCTTTATTTTCTTGGATTCTGTGGGTAGTTCTGACGGGGTGCTGGTAGGCACTTCTTGCCTGCTGTGAACAGTTTGCATTCACACTGCAGGCTGTCAGTCAAGGCAAGTGCAGGCCCTTTCTCCCCTCCTCAGATGTCCACTTCCTCAGAACTGTTAATATATTTGAGACCTCTACTGCTTTCTCAAAGAGAGACAGACACACATGGCAGGATTGCAAAGGTCAACTGGGAAACTGGGCTGGAAGTAGCCAGAGACTACTGATGTTCTTCAAAGTACCTCCTACACCCACAACTGTGGTAGCAGACCTGGTTACACTGTGCTCTGTGTAACACCCTAGTACCTAGTGCAGCATGAGCACAACACACATGGTTTGGACCTATAGCAGGATTATTCTTCTGCAGCAACTTTAGGTGCCCTGGTGTTACTCTGTAGTAGCAGTACTTGTAGACCAGTTGGATGGGACCTCTGTGGTCTAAACAAGCCCAAAGGCTGGCCTATGTTTAGTAAAGTATTAAAATGACATTAAGCCCCCAAATTGGACTTTGCTAATATTACCTCAGCAAAGAGCAATGTTTTAGCACCATTCTGGGTAGAACTAATGTAAAGGTTGTTAACAGAAATGCTTAGACATTTATCCAACCTTTAGGGTGG